GTGTTGATCCCTATCAGTGAACTACCTTGTGACCCAATTTTATTGACCTAGGTCAAACCGATGACGTCACAGGTCACGTCAAAGGTCGAATTTTCACCGTTTACAGGCATTTCAAGAAATGCGTTGTAAAATCGAGTAAAATGCATTTCATTGAAAATCATCGATGAGGAAATGTTCTTCAAACACATATTTCGCTATTTGAGGTCACTGATACCAGGTCAGGTCACAGAGGTCAGGTCACTGACGGTCACATTATGAATTTTTCATGTGATGCATGTATTATGGTCCATTTTATATGTCAAATACGATTATGTGGGTCAGGCAGCCTTTGGGGTCAGTTAAGATTATGTTCTGGTGAAGGTCAGGTCAAGGTCAGGTCAAGGGCAGGTCAAATTAGGTCAAATTTCAAAGTTGATATTTTTGCATAAAATGGGTATCGATTCGATGCAGCTCGTCACGGGGAGTTCAATGGTGGTCTTTGTTTTGCCCTACGTGGTCTAGAATCACTAAAAATTGAGTTAAAAAATTGACGTCATCATTTTTGAGCAGTTTTTTTTCGCTATAACTTGGCCAAAAACGAGGTATTGATCTGAAATTTGGGATAATATAAAGAAGAGAGCAGGGACTATCACATACATTCCGTTATTTTTCGAAATTCGGAAATACTTTTTTTGATTTTTTTGAGTTTTTCTTAAAAAAATCAATTTTTTGAATTTTTGAGGGTCAAAAACCCAAAATTTTGAAAAACCGAGATAGCAGTTTTGTAGCGCCGCTTTTTGTCTACTAGACCATATCGACACCTTTTTTTAAACCCCACATTTGTTCTCCGGCGAATTTCAGACAAGTTGGTTAGAGACCTTCAAAAAAAGGTACAATCACTTGATTTTTCTCAAGTTTGTCTGTCTTGGCAGATAAAGCAATACCAGAACAAGCCTACGAACACACATATTTGATTAGGATCGGACGATTGGACACTTTTAAAAGGAGATCTTTCGTGCCTCCCGGAAATTCACGGGAGAGCAGATGTGGGGTTTAAAAAAAAGGTGTCGATATAAAGAACTTTGAAATTGCTTGGTAACTGTATGTAGATTCGGTGAGCGTTTCAAGATTGCATGTTTTTTGCTCATTTTTGCTCGAGCATGACCTCAGTTTGACCTCAATAACTCCTGACCTAAGGTGACCTAAGACTTGAAATTTGGTGTGAAGGTGTCAAATTGATGCCCGGGAAGGTGCTGAAAAATTTGGCCGCGCTGCACGCCGCTGTTTTCTTGCTATTCAGGAAAAAAACACAGGGGGGGGCAAATTGCCCCCCCCCCAACGGGGCGAGGGTTAAAAAGAAAAATGCGTTCTTGCCTTTATGGAAGAGTAATTTAACAGGATATAAATTATAAATTGACATCAAATGCAGTGGGATGGCGCTCGAGCAGCCAGACTCGGAGCTGTCAGTTTGTATACGTTAATGTTGCCCAAATGGTTGAGAGGGTGTTTGACTATGTGGGTGTGGACGGATGTCCCCAAACTCTGATAGTCATTTTTAACGGCTTTCGGGCGTTATTTACAGAGATTGTACTCAAAGTTTCAAGCCAAAAAATAAATCAAACAAATAGTACGGTCGCCAGATCACTCGCTCAAGGGCTAGTCCACCCATTCACTGACTGATCCAGGGGTAGGGGCATACAGACTACAGCGTCATGCTTCTCCCTTCCCCAAGCATTACTCGTAGTCGTAAGTCGGACGGACTGGCCTGTTTTCTCCTAAAACAATATTGATAAGCCGAGATGGGCCCCTCACCGCACCGCCCCACTTATCAACCTTTGGTAACAGTCAATCATCGGCTATGGTTAGTTGATCTCTTCCAAGCCCTCCTACCACCAAAGAAATGACTGGACCTATAGGGCCTAGGGGTCTGAAAGTGGTGACCCTACCTGGTATGGCAGCACCGTGCTATCTGCTTCACGGGAATGGGATCGCGCTGATAAGGCGTGAGAAATGACAAACAAAGCGACGCCCAGTCGAGGTAAGAGGTCAACTTGGCTCCGGAACAGGATCCTGGAGTATAACGACGTCTTACTCGACATTCTTACAAGAACGCACGAATGAGGCATGGGGGCATGCCATAGGGGAAGCCGGGGGAAGCCCGGGCGCGGGGGAAGCCCGGCCACCCCGTTTCCGGCTAAATTATTCACAATAAAATGCTCAACTGTTTGTCCTTTCAGCGTGGCAGCTAAGGTAACGCCAGCAAAAAAGTTAAGGCTAACAAAAATTGCATATTGTTAAAGTTATAGAGCAAAAATGATATTTTAAGGGTTTTTAGCTAAAAAGTAAGATATGTTGCACTGTTAATGTTATAACATACAGTCCTAATATTTATACGAATGTTATATAAGGACCGTTTAAGAGTTTGTAGTGAGGGGTGACGAGGCAGGCTTTCTTAAGTATGACATTTTTTCGAACATCGCTGTTCTAAAATAAAAATTAACACATTGGGGTAACCCCGGGCGAGTGGCCAAGCTTACCCCCAACCGAGAGCAATGCCACTAAACCACTGCTTTCCATGAGATAAAAGGTACTGAGCAGGTTTGGTTTACACCTAGATCAAAGATAAATTTCGAAAATAAACATGTTATCATAGACAAACCCAGTCATGTCACTTAAGGTCAACTAGGGTCAAACTACGTTTTTGCAGATAACGCGACAGACAATGAAGCTAGAGCTGCAAAAATGGTGTCGTTGTGTTCTTCTTCATCAGCCGAGTCGAATGATATGCAATATGATGCATTAAGGTAAAAAGAAAAATAAATTTTAAGGAATTTTGAAATACACATTTTTTGTCAATTTTGCATCACGATTTTCATCGACCTATACTGTATATGTGGTAGACGCTAGCTAAAATACCAGTAGTGACATAAACTCTAAGATGTCCAGAGCTAATCAGTACCTTAATGTTTCACTTTCCGTTAATATTTGGAAGACACATAATGGCTTCATCAACTCGTTGTAAAGCGCTGGGGAGGTGGCCGGCGTTACCCCTATGCCGGGCTTACCCCAGAAAAATCAACACTTTTTTAAAACTCGATTTTCTCAAACTTATACTTATTTCACGAAACCGAATTTTTGGGACGACACGACCAATGAACTTAGCTAGCTAACAGGATATCAACATTTTATACAGCACGTATGGTATGTAATAAAAATGAAAAAGAGCTTACTATGCCGGGCTTCCCCCGGCTTCCCCTATCTGACACAGTTTTTAATTAGACTTAATCAGACTTATGTGCATGGAAGAAATGAGCAACTGACAAAAAAAAATGTATTTAATATTTATGTTTATCTGTAATGAAAGATCATAATGAGGTGTAGGTAAAAAACTATAAATTGGGAATCCAAGGGATCCAATGTGCCCCCCCCCCGTCCCAAATCGTTCCGCCGCCCAGGGGGGCGACACGGCTATTCGCGCAATGTATTCATTTATGGGCCGCGCGGGGCCTCGCGATGACGCGGCTGGAGGCAACTGCTCAGCGCGCTAGGATACTTCTGGCGGGGCCAGGCGCTGAACGGTGTGCACTGTGCAATGAATGGGTTATGGTCGGGCAGACAGAGATGAGGTAGGTATTGAATTTGAATTGACATCAGCAATCGGGTGGGGAAGGAGAACGTTTCTAATCGAGCTTGGGATGGGGAAAGCCGAAAATATCACGATCGGCTCATAGCTCCGACAGGGCCGGGTGCCGTACCATGTGTAGTATATTTAGGCGGGCAGACACAGATGAGTTATTGGATTTAAATTCACCTTACCATCGTTTTCTGGTGGGGTTTGAAGACTTTTTATTAGTCAAGCTCGGAGTGGGGCAGCCCACTGGCGGATCCAGGGGAAGGTATTTGGAGCAAATGTCTTCCCCCACAACCAGGGCAGCGCCCGAAATCGCTTTTCGAGAATAAAAGAATCAACTTTTCTGAGGAAATGTTGGTTAATCACACTGCACAGCAGTGCGCAAGGAATCGAAATCCGAGTTTTTTTTAAAATTAATTCCGAGAAACCTTTTTGGGGTAAGCCCCCGCAGTGTCCAAGACCGCTTCCTGGATCCGCCAGTTGTGAATAAGTCACGGTCGATACCGAGCTTCGGCGGGACCAGGCGCTGTATACGTTGTTCTTTCAATGAAGAGGTGGACAGACACCTAGCCTCACATCCTACTGCTATGCCCGTGCTTCTGTGGGTGAAGCACTAAAGCATCACGGAATCCCACAGGACCTGCGAGTCGACGAGGTGGCCGCTTTGGCCGCCGGGTACTGCAGCTCCCTGGAGTTGCCTGGGACCGATGGCAAAACAACAGCTCCGGCGGTGCCCCTATGGGCCGTAGTAATTAGTGAATTCAGAATTCCCGTAATGTAGAGATCATATCTTCAATAATCTCCATTACCATTTTATATTCCTTAACAGTATGACAGACCAATTATGCTTGCCTACGTTCAGGCATTACCACTGATGGTCATACGCCCAACACAACATGTGTTGTTTGTCAAACAACAATCGACGACGGGATCCCTTATCATCATCTCTTAAGCCATCGGTTGTCGATTCACCCACCCCGTTTCCCTAAAAATAGACGGTCAGATTCGGCCTGGGTCCTTACGACCCCTTTAGACTCGCCAGAGACGGGATCGGATCGCCGTTATTGCACCCGTCTTAGTGTCTTTAATACTATGACAGCTTCGACCACGGACGTCGGACGGGTGATCGTTCCACGAATGTACCTACGCACCATCCAGGCCTAGGATGCATCGAGGTTTAAAAGAATGCAGTCTGTAGATCAATCAACATAACAGTGGTGGTATGCAACCACATTAAAATATCTCCCCGGCTCCCGCAACGTTCCAACGCCCCTCCGTTATGCATTCGCCTTGTGTGTCCGCCGAGCCGGCTTGCCTCCAATGACGTCATCGGCCGGCCGGCGGCGTTCAAGGTCAAACGGCTGGTGTCCTTACCTGGAGTTCTATAGCCTTGCCGCCGCCTATGTTTTCAACTGTTATAGTGCTGTACTGTGCCTTTACGAATTTCAATCGTGCTTTTATTTCCCTGAGAAACAGTGTAGGGTAGACCGGGTAGACTAAGCAGCGTTGGACACGAAACAAGTATTATAGCGTAGTCAAATGGTCTGCGTTTTAGTGGTTTTAACCAAGGGGCATATATGGCGCAGTTCATTCGTTTATGAACCGCACAGAAACATGTGGGAAGCTGTGTGTTTGTTGGGATCGTGATCGCGTGAACTCAGGAAATGTTCCATTATTATCGGTTATGACATCTCGTTCTTTGTGATTACTGAAACAAATTCTGCTTTTATCTATTTGCTATTGCTTTATCGATTGGGACCATAGAAACATGAGCTTTGATCGTCAAAACACAGCAAAAGTGCCGAAGATTGAGACAGTCCCGTGCCCGGTCAACAATGAAAGTAATATCCCTTTTCTTCGTGAACTGGCTGGCAAAAAGGGCACATTTATTGAGAAGATTACTGATACAATGCACATTGGACTGCTGCCAAGCATGCTGGGAAAACTGAGATCAGGAATTGCTGACAACTTAAACAGCATGCTTCCGAAATATGTTCCTCAGTAAGTATGTTATGCATTTGATTGGACAATTATCAGTTAATTCACTTGAATGTAAATGTGCATTCAACTCAAATCATAACTAATAATAAGGCATTGAGTGAAGATAGTATTTTGTGGTAACCTTTATCGTCAACGTCATGTAATCGCAGTGTTCTAAAATTGGATATTGGTTGGGTGTGCTGATGAAGAAAAAAATCCTAACATGAGAAAAAAGGGAGTAAATAACTGAAGTATTTTTGCAAAATGGTGTAAATGCCAATTTTTATGCCAACTGATAAACCAGGATTGCATGTCAGGATCTTGACAGGGTGTGAAACAAAAGGATGCGGGTGCATCAACTGTCAAGTGACATGTAAACTGGCTGTTGGGAATACATGAAACTTTTTTCAGAGATAAAGTGAAGTCGGTCATTTATAGTTTAGGGATGAAAATATTATCCCCATTAGGTGTAATTTGCCACCAAAAAGTCTGAAAAATGGAACACTGTGTAATTGAGTGATAAATGAGTGTGTGCTCACCTTTGTGCCAGGAAAATGGTGTTGTGTGTGAAAACCCACTGCTCTTGTCAAGTGATGATAATTGTACATATATAGGTAGGATTCTGAATAGCCTGGCTCTGGTCAAAAGTGGAATGATTAATTGCAATTTTTATTAGTAGGAATTAAATCAAAGCATGTGTGGTCAAATCATGAAGTTTTTCACGTAATATTGGGCTTTAAAAAAAATATTTATTGCCACCTCATTGAAGCATTTCTTTGAACCTCTTTTATTTTTGAAAATAAAGTTGCAATTTGTAATGTCAATCATGACTGGGTACCAAAACTCAAAAATTAAATACAAAATTTGATCCAAAACTATTCATGTGGCCAGTCACTAGAGGATATGACATACATCATTACTAAAACCTGAACAGTTGTGCTAGTTTTCCCTGGATCTTTCCTTTGACCACTAAAAACATTAATAATTTGGTAGGTATTTAAATGTTGTAAATTACTCACTGGCCTTGTCGCTGTTCTCAGATAGGCAATCAGTGAAATTATTGGTGTGGTTGGAGTTGTGAGCTGTGGAGGTGGTGGGTGTGAGTAGAGGAGGGAGGTTTGTAGTACTTTCAAGCTAAGAAGGCCACCATTCCTGTGGAAAGGGCTAGATATAGATAGTACATGACCTGGAACAGTTGACCCATGGACTGAAGATTTTTATCCATGGTAATTGTAACCAGATTTGAATGCATATTGCATACCTATTTTAATAATTGACCCAAATCCCCATGATTTTCCCCTTCCAGGCAGCTTTTGTGCATCTATGATCAGGGGACTTTGAAGAATGATTGCAAGAATCTTCAGCATGTACACCAACTGAGACTTGACCATATGTTCGCAGGCTGAATGGCATTATGGTTGGATATGAGAACCTGGCCATGCTGGGGAGCAAAGGCCACATGATCCCCGGCTACCACCACATCCACATCAACATCCGCGCAGAGTTCTACGTCTTCAAGCCGGTGATCGGCGGAACACTCACCGGTGAGAGCCGCAGTCCGACGCCGCTCGAGCGACGGTCTGGGGAGAGACGATCGACCGACACTTAGGTCATTGCTTCACAAAGCTTGCCCATGTTGTGAGCTATTGTCATCGACCCCAGACGATGTTTATCTGGAATAGGAGCTCCAGTCAATTATTTTGATTCACCCACAGGCCGCTCTCCTTCATGAGAATATCTGCAAAATATATAATTACGAGTACAGCGCCTGATGCTGCATAACTGCTGAATGTCAACTGAACTGTGAACCTCAGATAAAAAGTCCTCTGTAAACTTACGTCAATGCACGTCTCACAATTTTGTAAAAGCAATAATCACCGTTTATATGGAGTAGCTGCGTGTGTTGATCTGTCCCGTCCTGCTGACATCTCGACCGCATTTGTTGCAGGAACGGTTCTGAAAAAGTCCAGCTCTAGTGTCACCTGCCTGACCAACAAGGTCTTCACCGTGTTCGTGGTCCTGCCCGCGCACATTAAGCGCTCACTACATAAGATACAAATCCACGACGAGATATCATTCACGATCGAGAAGATCGACCTCCTCTCACAGATACCGTTCGTCAAGGGCATTCTGAATGATGACAGGCAAGTTGTATTCAATACACATGCTGATTTCCACCGTACTCGTGATGCGTAAAACGTACCAAAAAATTGTCAAAATACGAAATATTAAGTCTAGTGTCGTATTGTCGAACCGCCCTGGCCTGTTCACGGAAGCCACCGCCTGGTGCCGCCATCTGTTCCGCTGACCCTCCCCTTTCTCCCGACAGTTTGTCGTCGGGTAGCTCTTCGCACGTGCGGTTCGATTCGGAGTCGGCCGAGCCCGACTCTGGCCTGTCGTCGATCGAGGACGGCTCTTTGGGTCGCAGTCCGGCCGAGTCTGCCGAAACGCCACACAGCCGCAAGCACAAGAAGCGCCGCCGTGACCGCGAGGAGGCCGAGGGCGAGGAGCCACCGGTGGCGGAGGAGCCAGCGCCAGCGGAGGAGGAGCCAGCGCGGAGAAAATCGAAGAAACGGCGGCGGGAGGATGATGACCAGGTGAATGGGGAGGAGGCGTCCCCGCGGAAGGCGAAGAAGCGCCACCGGAGCGAGTCGGAACCAGAACCTGCGGTAGAGGAGCTCTATCTGGCCGACCCGGTACCGCCCACCAGCAGCCTCAAAAAGAAAAAGAAGAGGAGGGAGCAAGCCGACCTCAACGGCAGCATCAGTGGAATGTTGCGGTAACGGCCGGTGCTGTTACAGTGTTTTTCAAATGTGGGGGATCAGTGCCTTGCTATGTGTTTAGAACGTGTATGGAACCGGGAAGGGGACTTGTTTCGATGCTGTTGCTGCCACACGTGTTGGTTCCGGTGTGGCGAGAACGGAACGACAAATCAGAGATATTGCAATACAAAGTTGTTCGTGTCGCAGTTAAGGTTTTAAAAACTGTGATGAGCTTTGTGAGGGCTGTGATGAGCTGAGTGTAAGTGAATCTCCGGCTTTGAAAGTGTTTCCTTGTACGAACGAGGTCGACGGTTCAGTCCGCTACCGCAGCGCCACCAACCAAACACAGCCGCTCTCTGCACACAGCATGGCACGTATATTGGCCTCCCGACCACAGCTCACACCCTACCGGCAAGTGTCGTGCCGCGCTCCAGTCCCCTCCCCCAGGTCAGGTCACCAGGTCAGCGACTGCTCCGGAGACAGGTCAGATTATCCGGAGAGGACCCGGACGGCCGGATAACGGTACGCAGCATCGAACCCGACAAGGCAATCTTATGGATAGTCTGTGCGGTATTGGATAGTTTGGTATGAAGGTGTATGTGTCGGTATCAGAGGCGCGAGGAGGTGGAGTCCACAACGACCAGCTTGAAATAATTGAACGGAGGCGCCAGATCATCAAAAAGGCGGAAACAGTGGCGAAACTGGAGTGGAAACTGAAGGCTGGATTATAACGGTAGTTGCTGAAAAGGACAAGAATAGAAACAGCCTGACCATGACTCATTCGAGACAGACGTCACAAATGTACATCGACAGGGCACTCGGGGAAACGAGCAGCTGGATGCGACATTGGGGACGTTTAGAAGGAGTGGTGGCCGGAGCAGCGGGAGGGGTGATAAGTGGGACCAGGGAAAGTGAGCGATCGAGAGGGATAACGTAGGGAACAGACGACAGGAAAGACCAATGCTTACTTGGTGCGCCGGACTTGGGTCTTGGCCAGGACGTCGGAGTCGACACTGCCTCCCGGACTCCCTGGATCTGACAAGTCGGAGCTGAAGGAGAGGAAGTTGAAGCACCAGGTCGGTCCGGTAGCTGGTGGATGAAAAAGATGACAGGAAATCAGCATACTAAGAAGAGCATCCGGATCAGAGGAGCCCACCCACCCGTGGAAACTGGTGAGCACGCGCGGGGGCGCCGAACGCGCACCCGTCCCGGCAGGCGCGCAGACATCAACCAAATGCGACAAAATATTGCACACTCCACTGACCATGGCTAGCTCAAAATGCGCACATGAACAGCCAACAGCGACCGGTACGATTAACATGGCGTGTGTACGACACAGACAGACATACATACATTGCACGGTGGCCGCCCCGCCAGCATCAACGCAGAGTACATGGACATCGATCGGATGATAACAAGATAAAATATACGTCGCGCTGTGTCACTGCCGCGCGGCCCCGCTGCGGGAGTAGAACCCTCTGTGGCGTGCCCACGACTCTCACAGTCGGCTCGGCGCTCGCCACCGGCAGGTACGTTGGTATAGACACCCCGGCCACTCGTCCGCGCATTTCCCCAGCTGCCCGACACCGGTCGGCGCTACCCCGCGTCACCCTCCCCACACTGGATTGATCTGTTTACAAACAACAGAGGCTGTACGGACCCGCGGAGACAGTCTCTTGTCACTGCCACAGCAGTCCCCACAGTAACGATTCGCTTCACCTAGCTACCACCGCAAGTCTATCTATTGAGTCAGCTCTGCGAGTCCGGCGGTGCTCCCTCGAACGCAAAGCCGTCCCAGCCGATTTGATATAGCTTGTGACGAGTGTTACACCCATCTCTGAAAGGGTGTTCAATAACACCCGTCTACGAATGTATTAGGGAGGTCCACATGTCTTACCCCGTCTCGGAACCCGTCTGAAGAGACACAGCGCGTCCCTTCCGAAACTCCGGAGGGGAACTCCTAGTCAGGCTGCTATCCGAGCAGACCCGCGTCAAAGTTCCGGTGGCAATGCCCTCCGACCCGCACCGAGGCCTGCCAGTCTGAGCTCAGCCCGCGAACCTGGGAAGATTGACTTTCTGAGCACGGAGCGATCACATGTGGCGTTTTCCCAGCTGCCGGCAAAAATAGAATCTGGTTGGTTGCCCGACGACTGGCTGAGGTGCTCCGATGAGCCGGATTTGTCCGTGAGGACGGACCACTGGGACCCCTACGCGGAACTGCCGCCCGAGGCCCTGGCCACCGCGGACACTGCACTACAATGAAAGCGCGAGCACCCGCCCGAGTTTGAACTACAGACTACGTACCGCCCCAGCTGAGCAATGGCATCGGGCCCCGGCCCTGCGATCACGCCGTTCCAGTAGAGGACCGGGCGAAACGGCCGGCGAATCCTACCGTATCACTTCCTCAAAATGATGGACTAATAATGACCAGTCCATGTCTATCGAATGGCGACACCCTTCCCACGAATAGCCGAAACGGTGCCGACAGGTATAAAGTATCTTATGTTTCACATACGATTGACGACGCTAGAGTCGATTGCCTATGACCATGTGTGGTACAGATACATATAGCACGTTCTCCCCATATACTCGATTTGTTTTACGGAATATCTAAACCTGTTTGCAACTTGGCGGCGAAATGGACAAAGAAGAAAAGTTGACTAAAATGGCAGCACAATAAAAGGCTGCTTAATTAGAAGACCGAATAATTGAAGCGAAGTATGTATGCGTCCCGCATATGGATAAGCAGTAACAAATATGCACTGCAATATCTCAATAAATATTTGATTCCTCAATTTTCAAAAGGACGATATATTTATTATTTAATCCCGTAAAAACTGCTATGCAGCATCCTGTAGCAAATTGGATTTCAATTTAGTATCGGGTTCACTGCGTCTTTGTTTTGGCAATCCGACCAAACTAGAGTAACTCACCACGAGGTGAGGTATTAGTAATACCTCACCTCGTGGTGTAATACCGTATTACACCCCCTAAAAGCTGCTCAATAAATACTCTGATCATGATTGGACTGACGACACCATCCCCCGAATGCCACCATACATCACTACACGGACCTAAACCATAACCTATACGCTCCCACTAACCAGACCGGGCGCTATCCTCCAGTCACTGCGCACAGAATCACACCGTTAGCACACGACGCATGCCTATCGAAAGACAACAATACCGTCCCGGGCCCTGCTGGCAATAACCCAGGACTGCGAGGAACGCCAGATGAGGTCATCAGCCGCACCCTCTGACCACGAGCTCATAATAATAATCTGCGCGTGCGGCTGCACTACCGGCGACCGACGGACGGGCCATTTGATTGTCGTTTGCCGCCTGAGAGTGATTGAGTGTAACTCCAGAGTGCCGGTCCTGACCTCACGGCGAACTGCGGTGACTCGCGGGCAGGTAACGTCACGTGGTAACGACGTCACAATGCAACAGCTAGCGCGCTCACCGCCGGGGCGGATGGGCCGCTGTGGACTGACCCTCTGTCTCCAGAGCAGCTCGGTCGACCGACACCCTCCACTCCGTCTAGGGCAGCGGCCACGGCAGTCCGGTGAAGTCGACCGGTCCGCCGAGACCGGCGTCCGCCTCCAGCAGGGACATGATCACCGCCATGGCTGCCTCGTCCTCCTGTGCGTCGGCGGCCGCCGGGCTCTGCGCCGCCTCGCCAGGGCCCGGCAGCCCGTTCCGGCCGTGCAGCGCCGGCGGCAGCGGCTGCGGCGGCGGCGGGGGCGGGGCAGGCCGGCCGGCCGGCGACACGCCTCCGCCGGCGCCCTCCTCCGAGGCGGGGTCGCGGTCCTGCATCACCTCCGTCAGCAGCTGCTGGCTGCTCAGCAGCTCGTCGTCCTGCCGGCGCACGGACAGTGAGGTCAGGCGGGGTCACAGCGGTCAGACATCGCTGGCTCAGTACAACTCAACAGAGAAAAATGTCACATTGTGATGTCAGCAACAGACATGGGCACGGATCCCAGACAACCATTCACGGAAATCGAGATGGCCATTAGATTGACGGTCTTCAAACATGAAAGTATGGTGGAAAATATGGCTAATAAAAGCCTCTCAATGAACCAACTGTTTTGCACTCCTTCAAAGATAACAGTTTTGAGAAACTCCCTCAAGATCCATCTCGGATCCATGATTCGTGATCATGGATCCGAGATGGATCTTGAGGGAGTTTCTCAAAACTGTAAACTCTGAGGGAATGCAAAATAGTTGGTTCGTTGAGAGGCATCTATGTTGCAAAGTTTTCCCCAAAGGCTGCTACCGGCACCGCCCCGCCCCACAAAAATTTTCTGGGATACCGGCATGCTACCACGCCCCAAGCAAAAAACCGCCAAATTACCGGCATACTAAAAAAACCTGCATTCTTGATTCTAGCTTACCTCTGCAAGAGATGCCACATTTTGGCAGTTTCAGTACTCCTTGACATTGTGTTTTTTGGTGTTTTGATTCTGCCTTTTCCCCTAGGGAATGTTGTCATGAACATTTATTTATTTTATTGTGCTATACGTATTACCTACCATTAGACTTACTAGTTTATCGTGCTTTTGCAACATGAATGAGTATTCATCCTTTTATAGACCACAGTAGATTCTTGACCATTCTAATTATAACCAAGCCTGTGAATTGTGTGAAATGCTGAGGTCCATGTGTTACCCCTACACTTAGCAATGGAACATCTACCACAAAATGTATCTTGCAGTGGCTAATATTGCTGTTTCTACAATTTGAGAGCCTCTTAGTGTCCAAAGTTTGAATCATTTGCTGATAATTTTTTTTGCACAAAATCAAAAATACCGGCATGCTACCGGCAAGGCATGCCAGATACCACGAATAAACCTGCGGTAGTGAAAAATTACCGGCATGCCGGTAGTGCGATAGGGAAATTTTGCAACTCTAGTTTTCCACCATAATTCCACGCTTAAAGACCACTAATCTAGTGGTCATATTGATTTTCGTGTTTGGTCGTCTGGGATCCGTGCCCATGTCTGGTCAGCAAACTGTTAAAGAAAAGCAATGACCAACTGCTGCTGAAGTATATGCATAAAACACTGAACTAATTGCTATGCACTTACAAAAAAAAAAAAACAGGAATGAGCCGTACGTAAAAGCACTAAATCGGAAGCACACAGGAAGTTACTTTGGCTTACACCACGATGGTCACAACAGTTAAAGCGAAATCCAGATTGGTACGATTAGCATAGCAATGAGATGCAAATCAAAGATGTGCTACGGCGGAGTATGCAGGAAGTTACCAAGCAAAAATATAAGTTAGATACAGAGTGCAAAACTTAAGCACGATGCTTATATAAGCACCAGAATCTATAAACTAAGTGGAAAAGAAGAAAAGTGCGAGCCAGACCCGGCTTACGGTGTCGAAGAGCGTCGAACCCGAGTTGGAGTTTTCCCTGATGTTCTCCAGCAGCGTCTCGACGTTCGAGGCGGGGCTGGCGGAGGTCAGGGAGGGAGACGGCCGCCGACTACTGTCCAGCACCTGGCAAAGAGAAGACGTATGGTTAGAACAGAGAGAGGGACGGAGGAAGAGAGGAGAAACAGGAAAGGAGGAAAGACATCCGATTTGCAGCCTGTCCCGTGACAATTCCACCGTATCAATAGAAAGAAGGGAATGGGCACCAGAAGGACTAACAATTGAAAAAGGCATTCATAAAGAGCCGACATTCTTCTGCTAAAGTTCCCTAAAGCTGTTATCAAACCGTGTCAGCAGATCTCAAAGGTTCGTTCGAGTCACTATTGTCATATATAGCACGGTCCGTCGGCACGAATTGCTATTCGACAACACGCCACTGACATCAAACCGTACCTCGTCCGCGATCCGCCGTCCGATCTTGCTCGCGCTAATGCTGTCAAACTTGTAAGCCGTCTCCCCCGATATTGAGCCACCTGAAAACGCAACAGGAAGCACGCGACGTCAAAATAAAATATGCATAAATTCTAAATTAAAGTGTAGATTCCCGAACACAAAGCACATGAACAAATTGCATTGCCAACATGATTCACTCACCCAGCGGTAGCATTACGATTCACGAATCACGTCAGCTGCATGGAACGTCACTTCCTCCTCCCGTACTTTAAACCCATGACGCGAGCAGCTAAGTTTGACTGCGTCACGAACCTGTCTCGGAGCCGTCCAGGTTTAGAGGGGAGAATCCGCGCAGCAGATCGTCCTGGACGGGGTCCCGTGAGCTGCGGGAGCCGCCCGGCCGAGACGGACTGCGGACAGGGTCAGACCAGGTCAGGTCAGAGCGATAGGCAGGAGCAAACATGTGAGCCATGAACATTCGTTAGATGTCGGACCCTCGCATCAATAATTGTGGCATAAGTCGGAAGCATTGCAAGATGATTGTAGAAACGCACGCGTCGCTTACCTCGGGTTCATGATTTGATTTGATGCTGAAATATACTCCAGCTCCTTCGTCCACGGGTTTTTGAACGCTTTCCACTTTGTCCGGACTGTGACGAAGGAGTTGTTCTTCACTCGAAACTTGTATACCTATAAACAACACAGATCATTATTTCTTATTTCGTTTCAATATGCGGCAAAGCAGTGGACTACAGAGAATGCCATCGCAACAGTTTGAAAGATAGAGTACTTCTATGCACGGTACGCAGGTGCATCACCGTGATATGAAGTGTTTTTACAGGCCTCTTCAATGACCCGGCATGTGATGCTTTCAGATCCCGTGTACCTGCTCTGCTGCTCTTGTAGTGTGACCCCTCTGACCTTCAGTGACCCTCCCCCCCAGCACTGACCTGCGTCTCGTCGGCCGGCGACTGCAGGCAGTGGCGGTGCGTTTTGGCTATACGAGCGATGTCGTCCGGATGACACAGCTCGTATATACTGGTACCGACCAGTTCGTGGGGCAGGTATCCCAGTGCCAGGGTCACCCTGAGAGAGTTAGAGAGGTAGGTAAGCTCCGGGAGAGAGAGAGAGAGAGAGAGAGAGAGAGAGAGAGAGAGAGAGAGAGAGAGAGAGAAAGAGAGAAAGAGAGAAAGAGAGAAAGAAAGAGAGAAAGAGAGAGAGAGAGAGAGAGAGAGAGAGAGAGAGAGAGAGATACGAGGGTAGAGTGAGGGAGGCGGCCGACGACCGATGTCACAAAGTATTATGTGTCAGCCAGTCAGTGTCGCCTTCAAGGCGGAGAAGGTGTCTATTTTAGTCATCTGTTGCTTCCGCTTACTCCAACCAGTCACATCGACTGCGCCACTTTGTCAGGAATGTAGCCAATGACGTGCAGGCAGACTCCTCTACGGGGCTTACAGAAGAAGGAATGACATCACACGCCTATTGGCTTAGCATGTAAGCTAATTACGGGTGAGTTACTCTCAAAACGGGTTCGCATTACGTTCTAGCCTAGAGCTTCGTCGTGTTGCTCGCCAAAGCTCGCGTTATTGAGTATATAGTCTAGTCAGCATTGATGGTCGTTGCCATATTGTCTGCTTAGTCGCGACGTGACGTGATGATCAACAACTGATGACGTCAAACAGTTGGTAATTCATTGCAGAGTGACTCTCGCTGAATCAGACCCCAGTGATGAAAGTGATCTTCTCCTTTATCAAAGCGCACACAGAAATCAGAATGTTGTCGTATCTGGTAACTAATGGGATGTGCACTGTGAGTGTGCATCGCTCTCGCGACATCAAACAAACGTTAGTCTCTAGTTTCCAGAGGAAATGAAGACAGATCGTACCTTCGGAAATATCAGCTAATGAAAGGATGACTTAATATGCGGATCAGGTTGTCCTTCCCACAGCCAGAGCTGATGACAGTCGCAGTAGTGAACATTCTCCAGATGAATTATCTCGGGAAGGATAAATGATAACAATAACAAGTCAAATGTATATTTAGACACATAAAGCTTTCGGTACGAAAATACCTTGATCACTGTGTTACAGAAATGAGGACAGAAAAAACACAGTGTACATTTCTGTAACACAGAGATCAAGGTATTTCCGTACCGAAAGCTTTGTGTGTCTAAATATACATTTGACTTGTTATTGTTATCATTACGGAGCGAGCGAAGCGAGCGTAGTCTTTCCTTACATTAACGGAAATTTCTGAGTATGAGCGGCCGGCCGGCCGGCCGGCCGGCCGTGCGGACGCTTTTGCGAGGCTTATATCTCAGCAACCACTTGACCGATTTACACGGGGTAATTTTTGTAGGGTAGCTTCATTCCTTCTACCAAGTATTGGACTATTCCCGATGCATGTGGGTGACCCCTTATGCACGTGCCACGCGCAAAACGAAGAGGTGTCAGTTTTGTAATTGTTCCAATATCTCGGTAACTACTTGGCCGATTGCGCTGAAAGTTGGCATGTAGGTAGGCACTCACTAGGCAATGCATATCCATGTGCCAGAGTTGGGTTGCTGTTGCACGTGCGCACGTGCAGGGGTCGTTTCCAGATCTCGAGAACGGCTGGACCGATGGCGCTCAAATTTGGTACACGGTTAGGGACCAGTTAGTAGGGTGCCGTGCACAAGTCAGTTGGGACCCATTCTGCACGTGCGCACGTGCAGGGTGCCGCTTCCAGATCTCGCGAACGGCTGGGCCGATTGTGCTCAAATTTGGCACATCGCTAGAGACCGGTTAGTAGGGTGCCGTGCACAAGTCAGTTGGAGGTACCCCCTCAAAATTTCGCACGTGCAAGGCTCACCCTCTCGCTCGCTCCGTTAGTCGCCCCAAAAGGCGCTATACTGGTTTATTACGGAGCGAGCGAAGCGAGCGTAGTCTTTCCTTAACTAACGGAAACTAACGGATTAACGGAAATTTCTGAGTATGATCGGCCGGCCGGCCGGCCGTGCGGACGCTTTTGCGAGGCTTATATCTCAGCAACCACTTGACCGATTTACATGCGGTAATTTTTGTAGGGTAGCTTCATTCCTTCTACCAAGTATTGGACTATTCCCGATGCATGTGGGTGACCCCTTATGCACGTGCCACGTGCAAAACGAAGAGGTGTCAGTTTTGTAATTGTTGCAATATCTCGGTAACTTCTTGGCCGATTGCGCTGAAAATTGGCATGTAGGTAGCCATCCCACTAGGCACTGCATATCCATGTGCCAGAGTTGGGGTGCTGCTGCACGTGCGCACGTGCAAGGGTCGTTTCCAGATCTCGAGAATGGCCGGACCGATGGCGCTCAAATTTGGTACACGGTCAGGGACCAGTTAGTAGTGTGCCGTGCGCAAGTCAGTTGGGACCCATTTTGCACGTGCACACGTGCAGGGTGCCGCTCCCAGATCTCGAGAACGGCTGGGCCGATTGTGCTCAAATTTGGCACATCGCTAGAAACCGGTCAGTAGGGTGCCGTGCACAAGGCAGTTGGAGGTACCCCCTCGAAATTTCGCACGTGCAAGACTCACCCCCTCGCTCGCTCCGTTAGTCGCCCCAAAAGGCGCTATACTGGTCCTAACTGTCGTGGATAATTTATATCTCGGTAAGGCTGGTTGAGGAAAAGACTATGGTACATACTACATAGCGTGCAAAGCACACCTCGCTTCTCTCATTGGAATGCACGATATATTTTACGCTCCCTACTCGCAGCGCTTCGGACTGCGAGGTGGGAACGAAACATATACCATGCATTCCAAAGGGTTGAGCGAGACGCAATTTACACGCGTGAGAGCTGTGCTTCAGCCTAATGACCTACGAAACTCCTACACTAAAGTCGAAAAGATAGAAATGTTTGAATATACCATCGATCTCTAGCCGACACCTCTCTGCCATGTCCCCGAACCCACACCGAATATCTGTGAGCTCACCTCTGGTCGGCGTAGAGGAACTTTCCGTCGGTGGTGTGCCGCGAGAAGAACTCGAGCGGCCGCGTGTTGGCGGCGTCAAACGGTGCTGTCACCATCTGAGAGTACAGCCGGCCGATGGCCACCTGACGGTGCAGAATGCATAGGTAGTGCCATGCCATGGTATGGTAGACCTATGGCACAGGATCAAACGGAAGGGTAAGACCTGCCTGGGCACCTGGACGCTGCCGGGACACGCCATTCGGTTGTTTACTACCGCAGCCATGAAACAAAAAGCGAATAATTGGCGTGCACTGCTGTCACGAATATAGGCATACTTCAGCGCAGACACTCGTGCTGTTTGCGTCCATGAATCATAAATGAGCAATATGTCCAAGCCGCCCCGACTCACCAGGCAGGAGAGGTTGCAGCCCTCTTCATCTGGCTCCTTCTCCACGTCTCCCGAGGAGGGCACCCACGCCTTTAGGTACCCGGCGCAGTGCACGATCTTGAACCGCTTGTCTGGCGGAGCAAAAAAAAAGTTAGAAAAAAAAAACTCTTGAAGCTATATCAAAACATATTGCTACCCATCCTCTGTGCACTTTTTCAGATGAACTGAACTCCCGAGTTGGTTTCCTCATTTCAACTGAAACCGTAAAGGCAAAACGAAATTAACGGTTAACCCAAGCCATAAAACCTCGTCAAGGCGGCTGAGTGTTGGTCAGTGAGTCCTCCCGGTGACCACTGCCACCCCTCTACCCGACCCTGTGCCACTCTACGACCGTTCCACTTCCAGCCCGACGATCGTCTCACCTCCGGCAGCTGAGAATCGCCGCTGTCGCCGCTGCCCGGACGCCGCGTCCGACTCATCCATGGCAGCCGCACCGCCGCCTCCCTGCCCGCACTTCATCCGACAGAAGAACGACCGCATCGAGCCGGGACACAGGCTGTTGGACTCGCTGGAAACACTGGTAGGAATCGGCAGTAGCGTCTTGGAGTCGATTAGCTGACTGCGGGCCGTCAGGTCGGACGAGGCCAGCTGTTCTTTAACCTTGCCAACATCGCGCGGGTGAAGGATGTCGAACAGACTCTGGCCGATTAAGTCGTCCTGCGTGTAGTCTAGCACATTCTCCACAGACTTTGAGACGTAGAGTACCCGTCCGCGGTCGCAGCCGACCACGAACACAAACCCGTCGGCGGCCTGCAGTATCAGGCTCTTCATGTCTTGGTCGGTGACGAAGGCGGGCTTGCACTGGCCCTCGACTGCCGACGGCGTGGAGTTACGCAGCATCTTCATGTGCTGCACCGTCATCCGCAGCACGGTCAGCTTGTCCAGCTTCCTCGACTGGCACATGGGGATCAGCTGAGAGAGCTCCGAGATGTAGCAGTTCATCTTGTCACGGCGACGCTTCTCAATCTCGCTGTGGTTTTGTCTGTGGCACAAAGGTGTTTGGAGTGTGAACGGAAATTGCGACGGAATTTTTCTATTATAGTAGTACGTTGTATCACATGTGAACAACCGAAGATCTATCCAAAAAATCACAAAGTTAAGTTATTTGGGAATCTAGCACCACATCGCCCGACTTTTTCCTTGCATGGACAAGCAAAAAAAAACATGCCTCATTCATCATTTTCGAGATAATGTAACCACAAACGATATCAAACGCCATATCATAGGCAATAAGAAATTGAACAATAACCCTCAGGGATCACTCAGTGCACCGCAGACACTACGTGAGCTCCGTCAGCCTCCAGCACCGCCCAACTGAGTAAGAAGCATGGCTGCCTACTTTTTCGACGAGCTGCCTCCGGAGTCGGAGGACACGCGCGAGTACTTGCTGCTGCTGCCGATCGAGAGGTTGTCGTCGTCATCGTCACTCTCTCTGCGGATACAGACGGCATTGGGTCAGACACGTCATCCCTGACGGGCCAACATCAGGTCAGAAAAGACATCGTTAACGGTTTTACATCGGGTCACACGCGATATCACTAAAGTCGCCAGCAGAATAGGTACGCAGAAGAAAATTGAAAACTCGTAAGTCGTAGGTACTACGTAGGATCTGCAGGGAGTGCGTACGAAGTAAACCATCCAAACAGGAACGTTTTCAGCAACGTGCTAGCACATGCCTGACCGGATTTACGGTAGATCAACGATTACGATAGTTTTGATAGTTTCTCCTAAAATGTACGTTTAAGGCAAGGCTGCAGGCTGAACAAAGCAAAGCAGCTATAAGTCAAAGCTTCAACACATCGAGCAGCATTCATCAGTGAACAAACCTGCTGAATAGATGATGATCTTCTAGTTTCCTTTTGGTGCCAGATCGGTCCGATGAATTTGACCCGTTTTCACTCATCTCGATCTGTGAAGAATTACCATCAAAATCAGCTGCATCCCTAGAGCATGGGTGGATATCAGTAGTAGGTATCCCTGCCAGCGTGTCAAAACTGTATTAGGGCAGATTTAGGATACCAACATTTTATAAAATGGCAACATTTGAATGATTGGTTGGCAGGGAAAGTTAATAATTGAGCATGTGAAGTGTAAACTTTCGCTTTAAAATTAATGCTTTTTAACATATCTGAGGAGATCTTATCAACGCCATTGGCATTTAGCACACTACCTACATATTCTGTTGGCCTTTTCTGCACTGTATTCATTTGTTGTTGAGCTTTTCTGTGAAAAGCTACAAACTTTGTGCATACATGCATGTTATACCTAATGGAAGATACTAAGTTCCAGCATTCTAAGCTCTGCAAACCACAAGTGAAGATTCTCTTGGCTGGCACATCTAGGATCCAAGGTTCCTGTCTTTCCTATTCTTTTGTGCCATCTCCTTTTCTTGACACTCAGACTCAAAACTAAACCAGGTGATTCAGCCAGGTGAGCTAACAAAATGTCACATATTTATATGACTGCAGTACAAAACAAATGTCAATGAAATATGGGCCCAAAACTTTTGCTTTCCTGCTTTCTAAATTTTGTATTGAACATAGCTAATCTGAAATAAGTGAAGCATTGCATTCATTTAAGGTACTTTCACTTCACACTTCTCACCAAGCTTTAAATCTTGAATATGGCCTTCTTATACTGATATTTAGCTAATAATGGTCTCAGCAATACACAGCACCACAGGATTCCTAGTATATCCCTCATATTTCCACCTCATTTATTGCTGGAAAAATTAGGAAAGCAGTTAGGTACCCATCAACCACCTAAATCATGTGAATCATTGATCAATTAAGAACATTGAAATGAAAAATGGTATGATCTGGATAGTTGAGTTCAGTTTTAATAATAAATATTACCAGCTGCAAATTTTTAAGCACACAAATGTATTCATGCACAACATCAGCAGTAACATGAAAAAGAAGCTGCAAATATGTTAATTGTAAAATACCAGCAATCCTGACACTTTCAGTAGGCATCGGCAAAGCTGGCAGAAACTGCACGGTAGGTTGGAGGCGGTACCTATTAGGTTTTAGGTTGGTACATTGAAGGTTGATAGATTCTGGTTGGTATGCAGTAGCTTAATAGCAGGCAGGTTTTAGGTTTATAGGTTGGCAGTTAGAAGGTGTAAGCAAGGTAAGGTAAGGTTAGTTTGGGCCAGATATCGCAACGCCAATGCCAGCTTTCCTGGTACCATATTTTCAATGTAACTGAATACTTAAATGAATGGTTGGTGAAATTTGTGAGAACTTAACTTAATGAGTTATGACTCAGGCCTGAAGATAATAGACCACTGGAAATTTTACTTTGGTAAGGCTGGCCTAGTCCTTTTTGGAATATTTCCAGCACATGTGCAAGGGGAGTAGCCTTGAAAACATCACAAAAATACAACAAAACATGAGTTATCTTGCAATAACTGAACAGAAAGAAGCCTTTAATCAGCCAGTGAAGGTGGGGATGCACCAAGGATGAGGATGCACGAAGTCGGCACACAGTATGCGTCAGTTCTCAGCGTTAGTTTCCAATAAAAAAATCATAATCGATCGAGAAATAAACAGACTATGAGCTTTCCTATATCCTTACTCAAATGAAATCCCAATAATGTTAAACTGAAGAAAGTCCAGAAAATGAAAAATATCCCTTTTATGTAGGGTTACAACACATTACAATGTTATTTTATTTACTTATTTATTTTTGCATCGAAATATTCAAGGAAGTAGTATTCAACTTGCATTCATGTACTAAACCTGGGTTTGTTACGACATTAGAGTTTGTGATTATCATTGGATTGGATACTTTAAAAATTTAATATTACAAAAAGTTTGCTTGATTTTTTAGAATATGAAGATAGAATTATAATGAAATTCACTAAGTTGATCAAATTTTATCATTAATTTTGTATCTTGCAGCAACAGCTTTATTCACACTGCAAAACAGTGAGGAAATCTCGTGACGTCAATAAAACTCGATAGCTGCGTCTTGTATGAAGCACGCGCGCAGAAATGAGGTGAAGTAGAATAAACTAATATATTTTCAAAAATTTGATGCAGGCTCTAAGTCTAGAAGGTGAGTGCTGAGTGGTCCTCCGAAACCTGTGTGAGACGACCCCCCCCCCCCCTCCCCCATAGGCGGCGGAACGGGGAGGGCACCGGGGCACCGTGCCCCCCTTTGATTTTGGCATTTTAACATTAGGTAGCCCTATGGGCGTTGCATGGAATGATTCGACTGAGACGAATGATCAAATTTACGCTTTCTGGAAATGATGCGAGCTGCATAGTTAAAGATCTCGTGAACGGCTCGGGCTGCATGTGCCACGTTTTTAGCAGAGCCGTCACCGCGCACCTCCGGACCGCCGCAGTGACTGCAACGGCTCACAAGACGCTACCACCAGTAACCGGGGAGACTGCAATTCCGCAGCTAACAGTAGCACCAAGTCACGCGTTGGGCTTCATTTAAGGCGAATCATGGACGAATGGACAACTTATCTGCCGTTAAAATCTAGACTAAATCGCGTGAGCAATGAGCAATGAAAATGCCAAAGGTATACCTATAGGCTTACCGGATGAAGGCAAATGTCACAAGTAGTTAGATCGAATAGAACCAGACCTATGTACAGCCCTCAGCAGCCTGCGTGGTAGGTATTCTTTTTTCGACAAAACCGATAATAACTCAAAGGCTATGCTATCAGTCGGTCGGAACTCACTGCAAATAGATGCGCCATGCTCCACTTCTTCGATTAGATCTATCACTAAACAAACTATACGACTTGTGTGGCAACAAAATGCAAAAGTTTGTTTTTGGGGCAAATATAAACTTATGGACTTTGGACAGAAACTTATGGACAGAAAACCGACAAACAAAGAGGATTATGTGCACTTTTACTCAGCACACAGTCAAAGGACGAAAAGCGGAATAGTTATCGGTTTCTTTCTCAGAGCGCTAAGAATCTGCAGCGATGAATTCATTCAGGAAGAGTTCAATCATATTTATACTTCGTTCGAAAAACTGAAATATCCCAGAGGATTTTTAATCAAACAAAAAGAAAAAGCCGAAAAAATCAAAAATCGAAGAAACGAACAAAACAGAAGATACGAACAAGAAACGAACCAAGCGCAAAACGATGACACCAACAGAAGACTCGAACAACGTACGAACCAAGCACACGGAGATGAGACCGACAGAAGACACGAACGTCGCGCGAACCAAGCAAACGGCGACGATGCCAACAGAAGAGACGAACAACGTGCGAACAAAGCACACGAAGATGACACGAGAAGAAAAGCCAACAAAAGAAAGAGATGGATTTCGGTCCCAAATTCGAAAAATATTGATATCATAGTAAGAACACTTGAAAAGTCAGATATCAAAGTAGCTACAGTAACAGGAAAGAAAACTCAAGATTTAGTCAAGCACCATGAAACCAAAAAAGATACCAGTGATGAAAAAAGTGTAGTTTACGAAATACCATGCAAAGGGTGCCAAAGAACGTACGTTGGGGAGACGGGAAGAGGGGTGGAAGTTCGTTTGAAAGAACACAGAAGCGATGTAAAATTTCACCGAACATCAAATGCAATAGTACTACATATAGAAAAGTGTAACCACTTACCTGACTGGGACGGTACGAAGATATTAGAAAACAATATAAAGAAAGGTACAAGGAAAGTCCTGGAAGCAGCCCACATCATCACACGTGATACGTTTAACAGTAGGAGCGGATTTATCACATGGTCGTCAATGGCAGCAAAATCGGTGGTAGACCAGCAGAAGAAGAAAACACGCGGCTGATTAATTTCAAAGAATTTTTAGACGGTTACAGCGATTGTTATACTCATTTGCACAGTGATCAAGGTTCCATGAACCGAAAGCTTTGTGTGTCTTTTTGAATATATTTGAATGCATTTGTAATAATTTGGTTTATTATTTACATCATCATCCAACATAAACTTATGGGTTTTGCTGCCGAACTAGACGGAAAATGAATACGGTGATGATGCCAACCTAAGGTGCGGAGTCTCACGCGTCTTGCTGTTACGATTTCCGAGTGACCGATAGCATAGTATTCGCGTTATTCTCGTTTTTGTCGAAAAAAGAATACCTACCACGCAGTTTGCAGAGGGCTGTACATGCTCTTCTTGCAGCTCCCATGGGTCTCCACGGCCCTGGGCCCATTATCCTCCACCCCCCCCCCCCCCCATGTGTCTGCAGCAGACAGCAGTGCTGCCGTTATACATAGACCTGAGAACCGACCAACCCTCTTGTTGATCTACATACAGAAACTCACCTGCCCGACTGGCCCAGCCTCTTGGGGAGGAGATCGTAGCATAACGTGCCTTCATATGACACTATGGTCATTACTCTGCAATGGTTTTAGTGTCCTATGCAATTGCAATTCGTGAGGACCGGTGTCACGCCATACCATTACCTTCGGAACAGGCATATGCAAACGTAGATAGGTCACTTTGTTGAGCACCTTTCCCACACTTGCTGTAAAGCAACAGGAAGTTGCATGTGAGTGAGACACTTCGTAATTGCATGAGTCAGGCCGTGTTCGTCGCCAGGTATGTTTAACGCTGGGGCCGTGTTTGTTTATTGTCTCGAACGTAGCACAGAGCTATGAAACGGCTGCATGGCCAACAATGCAGGACGTTAGTTTGTCGTTCATGCTAGCATATAATTGACAGGAGTGGAAAGCTTCCTGTCTTTGTTCCTACTGTCTTTGTGGCCTATATATGTATGTTGATATGAAATGCATATGAACATTGTCTCGACTACTATGTTACACTGTTGCACTGTGTCGGTCAGTAGAGGCACCCGGTCGATTAGCTGAACCGGTCATCGGGGCCACCATCACCCCTTGACCCGTCACCCCGCACCAGCCCACGTGCCCGGGCGGCTATAATCACCACCGACGGATGTTGGCTAAGCGACGCGCCGGAGATGATTGATGGCGCACCTCGCGCAGAATCCGCCGACGGCTGCGCAATGCTCCGACGTCGCGCTCCCCCCCCCCTCCCCCCGCCGCCCCCGCGTGGGAAGACGAGGACCGCCGCCGGCCTGAAATGGTGCGCCACATCGGTATGCATGTCAGTGTGTTTCGACGGAGGTGGCTGAAGAAGGTGCCATGACCTTTGGGTGTGGTGGAAGAGTGAAGGGAGAATAAGCGGGAAGGGATGGCGTGGGAATGCACTGTTAAAAATATCAGTGTCATAGGTCATACGGGTGCGTGATTGAAAATAAGGATAATTCCAACATGGCTGAATGTTTGAAAAAGTTTTTGCTCTACGATAGGGGCAAGAAACTGTTTTACTAATACTCCTTCAGAAAAAAACATGGCTGTTTTGATCAAGACAGGAGATCAGGGTGATTTTTTAACGGTGATTTGCGCAACATTGAATGATTTCTAATGCTCCGGTCGGGCAAACCAAGACGTGAGCCTGTCAAACCGCGACGGATTTGCACATCATCGAGCGTTGCGAGATCTTCAAACAGTTAATGAATATCATTATCGCCCCCGCTTCCCTCTCTCAAACACCGTACGTGATACACTGAAAGACAGCCGGTAGGCAGTCACCCACCCACACGCCCTTTCATTTCACTGAGGCACTTCTAGGGCAAAGGCTCGGAACTCGGGAGCAGCCTATTTCATACACCACCGAAGATGAGCCGGTCCGATCGTTTCCACAGCTCATCTGTTGGATCGTGTCGGCAAATGTCGCCGTCACGGCGCGCGCGTGGGAGCCGGTTCGTCCGCGTCACGTGACGGGCGGTGTCACGGTGACGCTCTCGGCGCCGGGGTCGGCCGGTTGCGTCACAAAGGTCGCCGGCGACGGCCTCTGCCGAAGATAGTTCACTCTGTCGCTCGCTGGAAGATGAGTCTTCTGTCAGTGTTCACCGAGCCGAACACACGCCGCCGATGAGGAAATAACGGCCAGACTCTGATGGCGTCCCACGCAGCAAGCCACTGCGTTTAGTGACATTCGAATGGAATAGCGTTGCGAAATAGTAATCTAGAGATCAATAAAGCTTAATGGAAGCTTGATGTCTAACAAATGTCTGTGAAGCTCATGACACCTTACCTATTATTTTAAACAAGTAAAAAAACTTAATTCTTTCTGCGAATCGCTACTGCACCGTGGTTTCAGCAGAACCCGATATATCGTTTGATTATTTAATTCTAATAAGCACGCTAGTGCGCTAAAAGATAGCTGTCAAGAACCATAAGTATCATGAGTAAGACATTAAGATTCTTCGCATATAAGCGCCTTCCTTGACACACATTTTTAGTTAGCCGCCCAATTTACATCGACCTCTACCCCGGAGATTGAGTGGTCGACCTTAGCAGTATGCGCCGTAATTGAAACCCATCGAAGGTGGTCCCCCGGGCGTCATCGGGTGGTCGTCACTTCCACGCACCGAGAGATATAATGGAGGAACCGCGCTCACCGCCTGATCGAGGGTCGTAGTCTGTTCGTTCAGTGCTGCTCACTCCGCTGTTCAGTATCATGCTTATCGGATACCTACATTCCAGCGGCCGTGTATTTCTTTTGTTCGGTGCTTTGTACGAGTAGCTGCTAGCATTCATAGGAGAAGTATTCATAGCTGCTCACCTTTACAGAAGTATTAAATGCTGCTCATCCTCTTTGTTCCTGCAGCGCAGCAGAGATGGCAGCAGCCCACTTCAGTAGATACC